GAATTATCATATAGCAAAATTTAATCTAGCAATTCCCTATAATAGGCCGATCGTGCATGATAATGAACATGAGAACTTAATGAAAAACATGAGCATGATAATGAACATGAAACATGAACGAAAGTAAAACTCAAGTCTTTTTAATAATAGTCGGCAACGCGAGTTCTACAGATATAGAAATTGCTAATCTGTCAGTGTAATAAAGCAGATGAACCAGTAATCCCCAACAAATTGCTGGAAATGGCTAAAAGAATTTGAAAAACAGAATATAACCAAAATAATTCACAGTACTACTACTACTGCTTTGATGTGAGTAGAGATTTATCATTGAGGTATGGTAACAACGATATTATTTACTCTTGGCATAAGTTTAAATTCCCCTCAACCAAAATAACTGCGTAACTCGACCTTTTTGTTTGGCAATTTCATGCACTTCCACCTTTGAAATTCGGCCTTTGCGGCCTCTAAAGTTTCATTATCTAATTGGGTCAAACATGTTTCGAGTGGTTTCTGACATGGTCTCATTTGACCCCGCAATGCTAAGAGCTGTTGCCTTTACCACTTTTTTGCTAGCAGTGACAGCTGTGGTCCGCTGGGGTGAGCTTTCAAATCATATTGCCTGAACTAAATCATAGACTTTATTCAAATCCGGAGGACTCCTTTGTGCTTTATTGTTTGAGTACATTGACTTCACTTAGGCAGATCCTTTCAGTAAACCTTAGTCACATTTTTTCTATTTTATTTCATTTCCTTCGTTCCCGTAAAAAGGGTAATGTTTTTGCTGCTAAAACACAGTGATCCTCTCCTATCTTTTAAGAAAGACTAAGAATAACCGAGTTTATTTGTTTTTCATACCTTCTCTCTAACAAATTAACGTATAGCTTACAGAAGAGCGTACCTTAAAATGTGATGCCGATGACTGTGAACTCGCAATTCGCAACAATACCTTCAAACCAGCGGACTGTACGTTAGATGGTCAGTGGCCTCTATTATGCAATTTCCTTTTTTTCCCAGGAGAGTAGCAGCTGTTTAGCTGATTCGCGACATACTTGTAATATCGAATGTGAAGGTGCAGATCGGGACTCGGTCATTTCGAAAAGTCCAACAACTAGTCGGCGATGCATAAGGTACGTATAGTGTAGATTTGTGCGAATACAATAATTCGACGATAGTTTTCTACTCGTTTTTTTTTGCCACCAATTTGGACTTCTGTTCGAAATGCATATAGTGTTGCTCTTTTTGAGGTCTCATTGGGATGTGATGAGAAAAATTTGTTAGTGAACCAAATCTACGTAATCTTTCCTCCTCTACTTCCTATTTCCCCTCTCCTCTCCTCTTATCGTTTTATTTCG